CAGACATGCAGGTTTCCTTCACCGCCGAGCACGTGGTAAATCAGCACTTAAAATTACTAATATCAATTTCATTGGTTCCGGCGGGGATCGAACCCAGTTTGCTCGCGTACTGTGAAATTTATAGCGAGCGCTTAGCCCCTGAGCTACCACGGCTCTGTTATAAAAACAAAATATTAATTGAGGCTTTATTTTGCAATAACTGGCCAAATTTGCAGAGAAAGTTCAAAATAAATAATATAGGCAAATGGTGAAGAAACATTAATTTAAATAAATCTCAAACATCCTGTCCTTTTTATCTTTTCAATGCAAAATACATGGCAATGCATTATTTTAACTGATTTTACTGCACATGCACACATTCGTAATGTCCGATTTACACTCAGCCACTGCTACTGCTCCTGTCGCTGCCGGAAATATTTCCCTAAATACTTCTGCGGCAATAACGACGCGAGTGCGCGTTTACTGTTTACACTCAGCCAGTGTTGCCACCTTGGTGATTTTGTCACTAGATATCGGTTTTTAGCGTATTTGGAGATTATTCAATTAGGAATTTGGCAGCACTGATTTGAGACGGAAATCGTTCTCTTTCTAAACTTAGTCTATGGTCGCTGAGGTCTTTTTTATAGTTATTGACATTAATGTTGTATTGGGTATGTTCCGAAACGTTTCCAGTATACTGCCGAATACAAATGACGTCATTAATTGACACCATATTAAAACAATTTTTAATTTCACGCCAGAATTTGTTTTTATTTATTCAAATACAAAAAATTATAGAATAATTGCTGGTATCTCCATTAGGAGGATATAATGACTTTTTGAGCACAAAATGACAAAATAACCGCCAAGACTTTTCCAATATGACGCAAATGTATGATGTCAAATGTTTTGAAACGAATCACCAGAATGGCGTCGATTTATGACGTCATTTGCATTGGACAGTACACCGGGTTCTATTTTGGAACATACCCATTATATCAATTTTAAAAGTGTCGTCGTAGTCGATTAAAGTGGGTAGGAAATTGCATGTGTTCAGTGAAAGAACATTAAAGAAATTTAAATTGGTTAAAGAGTGTGTCTATTGTATCGTACCATCGTAGGTACAATGGTTCATACAAGTAGGATTTTAGAAAAATCAGTGTGTGTGTAAAATACATACAACAAATGAAAATAAAGTATTATTTATTCGAGATCCTATTTGTTCCACACATCTTTAACTACATTCTATGTCCAAGTTAAGTTATCACTGTTCCTTTCATTCCATCCCCTAGCATTCATTAAAGAATAAACTTTGTAAATAACGCTGAGTTTACTGTTATTATAAGGTACGTGTGGCAACCCTTCCCATAAATCACGTTCAATTTAGGATAATTTGAAATACCTATAATATCAAATTTCTATAATAATATAAAAGCCTTATTTACTCGTATTTTCAAAAACTGCAATAACGGTATATATGATTATTTATACATTTGAACTTAAGTTTAAAATTCGGCTACTCTTTGAAAAATAACCCTGTGAATATGGAAAAAAAATTATTTTATTGTATCAGTCTTATTAAAGGCACAGTATATAAATAAGTACAGTACGGAAACTAAGCCTAGTTGAGGACATAATTACCTACGCTCCGTTGAAGCAATAGGGTTGTAACTTATCTATTTTTTTAATATTTTTTTTACATTTTTGTTCTGTAGTGATCAATCAATGGAATTTAAATAATTAGCTTACAAATACAATTTAAATAGGTAATCGCATGGCGTCGGTTAATCTCAGTAAAAGAATAGTTTAAACACGTAAACAATTTAATATTAACATACAACAGCTTGTAGCAAGTTTTAGCGGGAGCTTACGCGAGCCGCGGTTGGACGAAACAGCGAAGGTGGCGCGCGGGCGGAGCTGATGAGTGGCTGCGAACCTAGTGACCGTACAGAAACAGAAACTTTTTTATTCAATATGGATTATAAATAATACTTATTGAAAGTCACTTTTTTTCATTTACAACTGGTTCGCAAAAAAAACTGTCCTGGGAAAAACCAGCAAGAAACTTTTTGTAAAAAAATACTGTCCTACTTTATTTACAATTCGATACAGGATTATCAACGTTACCTTTCAAAATCAGCAGGAAGTTTAAATAGGATAGGTTCGGTTTTGAGAAAGCCGAGTTCAAACAGCCTTATACTACGCAATACGTTCGTGGCATTTTTAAAAAAGATCGTGGAGATTAACGTAAACCAATCGTCTTGACGCGACACTCACTACTAAGAGTACCGCGACGTTCGCTTAGGAGTCTCGTAGTCATGTTTGTGTGAATGTGTCGTTTTCAGCGTTTGTAGGTAGTTTCCGTACTGTTCCATATTTATACTGTCTATTAAAGGCCTGTTTATGCATGACTGAGTATTCTTTTTATTCAGGAATAAGAACTTAATACTATCATTGATCGTTATTTTCCCGCTCAGGCTATTCTTAAGATATTTGTTTTCACAAAAAAATATGAATTGTACGAGTATATTTTCAGCTGTAAGTATTTTTTCTTTCTAGGAGTATGCTTGCAGCAGCGCACGTACTAGCAATGGACGCCAAAAACCTTCTTGATGTAGTGGATTGTATTCGCGAGCGACATCCCAACGTTGATTGGCGAGCTGCCCTCGAACCCGATCCTGGGAAAACGTCAGATCCTACGCCAGCCCAACCCTCCATACCCCATAATCAAACCCTCACCTCACAAAACCAAGTCTTCGCCGCCCAGTGCCAAACTTTCACGCCACAGAACCCAACTCTCAGCGCCCAGTCCTCGGTTCAGGAAGAAGACACGCCTCCACCAAAACCAGACTTCAAAATCAATCAACCGGTCACGACCATACAAGTGACTCCAACGGATCACCTCACCAAGGAGCACAACAGCCTCCCAGTCCCGTCCAACAGAGTATCCACTATAATTCACAACTACAACCTCTATGGGAACGTCAAAGAGCCGCAGCATATATACGGCAACTCTGAGGTCGGGGGCTCGTTTCAGCATTCGACACCGTGCGACGACTCCAAAATCGACTTAGCCCCATTGGAGTCTGTAAAGAGTCGCGTGCAAGCGATATCGGGCAAAATTGAGACCCCGCCAATTTATTCCATGAGCAAAAAGATGATCCCGATCGACCAAGCCATTGGGCACAGCGACCAGGGATGAATGCTACCGTTTTCACAGTTTAGTTCGCTTGTAGTGGCAAATGTTTGTTTCAGTTTTCTCCGAAGCGAGATCCGACAGCTTTACTAATGGGGCTATGACGAGATTTTAGACTTAGTCTTGTAACTTTTGTAACGCGCATTTAAGAATAATTAATTTTTTATAATTCCTTTTGAAGTATATACAATGCCGCTTTAGCTGTAGTGCTAATACAAAGCTTGTTAAAAGACAATCCAACGATTGCTCAATATTCCATGTAGCGAATAGATGTCAGATATCAATTCCTGCGCATAAACAATCATTAACTTTATCAAATGACCATGTATAACTTTCATTTATTGGATCATTGGAGTTTATTACCATGTTTAACTGCAGTTTGCGTATGTACTCGTATATCCAGTTGAAATAAAAGTCACTATAAACTATAAATCTCTGAAGAATAGAGTGATTATTTACACCCATGTTATTTTTTAATAATTTTTCAATTCTTTATCATAATACAATTAGTACTTTTACTTGTTGTATTACAAAAATACTTATTTTTAAATTAGTAAAATTGTTTCTTGAGATACGCAAAAATGTTAAATAAAATTGACGAACTAAATCGTTATGGGACTTCCCACATGTTACTGTATTTACTATAACAATTTATTATCTTTATTTATGCACATAATAAAACCTAAATTTATTATGATAGATTGAATTATAATTTCTACTTGGATAACTTATCTGGCAATACTTACAACAAAAAAGAATACTGACCGTATATTATGTTTATCGTACATGTGTTAAGTCCCAATTATATATTATCTATAACTATCTACATATCATCGGCATTGTTGCGCTTCAAATAAATCATACGTCATGTTGCCTATTTAGAATTATTGTTCAACATATCTGTTTGTTCTAAAGCCAATTTAAATTAAAACTTTTGTTTTAAATTCTACCTTATTTCTTTTGTGATAAAAATCAGTCTCTAACTCTACTTTATAACCGGTTGATAATGTTTTTTGTGATAATATTACCAATAACTGAATTAAATGGGATATTTTTCAAATAGACAAAGCAACACATGCAGAATTGCACCAAGCACATTGTGGCTATTTTCGTACCTACAGCTATATGGGTTTTAAATAAAAATGATGAGCGAAGATTCGAATGAATTTTACCGCAGTACAATAATTTTCTCTATAACGTGTATTGTTTATCTTATAGTATTATTTTGTAATCTACGATGTATTAATAATGATATAATATGTAAATTTTCCTTTAGTTAAGGTGCATATAGTGTCACAAGTTCTTAATTCCGCATTTAGTTTCCTATGATCTAACTCAGTATTTACCTGCTATAGAGACTTTATTTTGTTTGTAAAAATGTACAAAACGACACGGTTATCCATAATTATTTTAATTATTATCCAAAGTTTTATTATAAGCTTAGATCTCAGATGAAATTTCTAGAGTCGTAGTGCATTAAATTGGTTAGTTGTGTATGTAATTATGATGTCAGAATTTATTTATTGATGAGTCTTTCTCGATTTTATTTGTAAAGTTGTTTTTATTTTTCATATTGCGTTAGCGTTAAGCAGGATGTCATTCCAAAGTATATAATATTGTAAACGGAGAGCGTAGTTGTGTATCGTAGGTGTGAACCGCCCGAGATTATTTTACCGAAAACTGATACTGATTTGGACCGGTTTTTGTTCATGCATTACACTGAATAAAGGACAAATCATTTGCAATGGCTTTTATTTACATTTTCCATTCATAAAAGTATTGTTAAGATTGTTAAAAAGTATACTGATTAAAGATAAAACGGATATCCGGTAACTATCCGGTATTCGGCTTATCCGGCCTAAAATTACTATCCGGCCGGATACCGGATAACAGACAGCTAATCTGGCCGGATACCGGATTTAGAAAACCACAAAATATCAAATTTAGTTAAGTACTTCATTTATGTCACTTAATAAATATAATAAGTAAGTAATCGCAAAATTTTAATTTTAAAACTTACAAAATTAGTACTCGTACTGCGCTAAGGCACAGAATAAATAATAGTAATAAGTAGCAAGTAGTAGTAAGGGCAAATTATGGTGAATATATACTAATTTCTTTGCATTGAAAGGTAACAAGCGGTTTCGCCTGTCTTCATAAACAAGGCCAGCTTCAGAAAAAAGTTTTTCGCTGTATACGCTGCTGCAGGGTGCTGAAAGATATATTTTGGCAAACTTTGATAAATTTGGGTATTGTGTAGCAATACCTGCCCACCAAAAATATAAGTCACGATCGCGAACAGTTTGCACTGACTTTAATTTTCACTTCTTGCGATGCGTCAAACGGCAATGTTCGGCAGAATATCCGGCGGCCGGATATCCGGCGATAAGACACCGAATATCCGGTATCCGGACAAACAGTTATCCATTCCATCTCTTATACTGATACAGCGCCGTCCATCGCGAGAATTGTGGTTTCCGTCGCAAAGTTAATAAGTACTCTACGTACGCAGCAATACGGTCCAATATTGTACCAACATAATTTCAATTCTCCGTGAATTGACCGTGTGGTGGTAGTGTAAGAATATCGCACCGTGGCTGACGTAAGAGACGAGAGAGAAAAACTGAAACAGGAGCATCTTCCTGATAACAACTTATATAAAAAAAAACTACGGTCGCCATCTCTCCTGCTAAGCGTGGCAAAATCCCCACGTGTGGCAATCTATGTAAGAGGCATTTGTTCAGCAGTGACCTTATATAAGCCGTAGTGGAAGGATGGACGAATGTATTTCAATTTTAGTTCCACCAATTCAGACCATTTCCACCGAAGATGCGCTAGGAGAGAATTGAATTTTATTACCCTAGAATTTTCGATTCTCGCCATTTTTTTTATAGAATATAAGTAACAAACGAGCACATAGTTCATCCGATGGTAAGTGGATGCTGTGGCTCATAAACATCTACGTTTATCCTCGATTAAGAATCAAAACACGGATGCTTTGCCACCCCTGACGACTAAGGTGTGGAATGTGCCTCGTATATTTAACTACTATTTTACGCTGGTATTCTGTGAGAGCGTGGTCCTTCCCTGAACGAGCCAACCAATTCGTGCTACAACCATACAAATATAGCTGCAGCATGGCTGTACCACGTATAATTTGGGGCCAATTGCAGATGGAAAAGCAACTTTACAATAAGGCAAAAAGGGCAATTTGTACTAATTTTGGGCCAATGTTGATCTAACAAATGTGCAATTGTTTCTTACAAATACAAACCCTGGAAGTTTTCACTCTGCACGACATTTTGAAATTAACATTAGTTGATTAGGACAATAGTATATTGTATTATTTCCGTCAGCTCTGCACAGTATCAACTACTCACTACATTTTTTGCTTGTAGTGTAGGTATGTCATGCCATCCCTCATCAAAAAAGCATATTCTTTTTTTACTATGTGGTTGGACTCCTTTTTGTCTGGGAGACCGTCTGGGTAAGTATCGCCCTCCTATGTTTGCCGTCAAATGGCAGTGCTGTGTTCCGGGCTGAAGGATATAGAGCAGAGTATTGTGTTATATGGAATGCCTCACAGCCTGTAACTATACAGGCCCTCACCTAAGAAATTCCATCTTCTTCCTCAAAGCTAATAACGCATCTGTAGCTTTCGTTGTTGGGGGGTTGGGGGCCCCCCATTTTTTTTCTCTTTTTTGCGTTCTTTTTCCTTATTAAAAACTTGTCTTTTCCGTTCTGACTTTGCTGTTTTGTTTGTTTAGCGCCTTTTTTTTTATCAAATAATTTAACTTCTGGGCAATAGAATTTTCTATGGAAAAAATTTCAAGATATGTCAATTACAAGACATGTAGTAGAAACGTAGGTAAATTTTTAAATGTTCTAACCCCGATAGGAGTAATAGTGTTCTGTGGTTCTAACGTGCTAAAACGTCGTTTCTGTTTAGCGACGGTTTTTTTTTATTTATTGTACAGTTATAGTCGGCAAGATACGAAATGCTGTCTACACATTTAGGAAAAATATCCTGTCAGTCATTATTTTAATAAGTCTGAGAACTTTATGTGGCTCTGCTGATTGAAGATCTTTAAATAACGGGTTCACGTTCATAAGTTCCTGAACCAATTTACATCTAGACAAATCACATTATGCTCATCTGTTCAACTGATTTGAAAATCAAAATGAGTTTTTGACCGTTCAGGAATTATTTTAATTTTGTATAAAAATGAACACGTATCATAGTATTTTGATAGTTGAAGTCAAGTAAACAATGCACTCTTAATTGTATTACACGGTAAAAAAACATTCATTTTAAACAAAACTTTAGAATCAGTTGGTGTCTCACTTACAGCTTCGTACACAAATAATATTTTCTTTCTTCGGGATCGAGCTGACTTAATAATTGGATCGATCTGTCATTAGAGCAGACGAAAAGGCTCGCTACCGTTTAAAAATTCTGACAAAATTTTCAAACAATACGACACCTTTGGTAAATCCATAGATTCAGACTGCATAGATTTTGTTGTGCGAGCAGCTATGCAGCTCTAGAAAGACCAGTATTACTGCGGCCTAAAAGATCTATTGTGATCGTTTCTATGGTTATAGTTCACTGCTTAACCCTATGTCTTCATTGAATAGGAGTTGCTTAGCTGTGAGCAATTTTACTTCTTCTGGGCGAAGTAGACAGACAGTTTACTAGAATTGTATTACGTTTGCATATTAAGGGTTCACAATCAGTCAGGATGCGAAGAGACATTTTTTCCGTTAAGGAACAAAACCGGCATATCCTTGATTTGCTTTGTCCCACGAGTGCCATGTGCTTTTTAAGATAACAGTGTCCAGTCAGGGCTCTTGCCAGAATGCACAGTTTATTTTTACCTAATCCCAGGGCTTCTGAAGCGAATTTACGATCAAAAGCCCGAATTAAGGTTTTAAAATGTTTTTAGTTCGGTGTATCAGACCAGATCTTAAGATTATTGATTGTGATAGTTTCGAAGGTCAATCGGGCTAGGCTTTCTGAGATTCCACAAAATGGCTCGGTTCCTAATTATGTGCTCTTTATTTCCTCCCGTGCGAGTTCATCGGCAAGTTCATCGCCTACAATATCCGCGTGGCACGGAACTATCTTAAAATGACACTGTTGTTACATCCCAAGGCGTTTAGACAGTTTACGCAGACTCCAACTAGCATCCAGTTCACTAAGTTTGATCTCAGCGCTAGCAGTGCTGCTCGACTATCAAAGTTTATATAGATTATATGATTGACGTAGGGTTTTTGCAGAATGATTTCCGCACACTGAAATATGACGAAAATTTCTGCCTGAAAGATAAAGGTGCATCTACCCTAATTCATACTAATTTTGAAGTTGGGGCATTTCACATAAATTCCAAAGCCTACGTCGAGGCCCATTTTTGGTCCATCGGTGTAGCATATAAGGCTTCCGACCTCACAGATAACCTGTCCATTCAGCCAGACCTCTGGAGGGTAGTTGTACTATATACTTTTTATTAAGTGTATAGCGGACGCATGATATCATAGAGCGTACTTATGCACTATGTCTTATTGCATAAGCACGATCAGTGTTTCTTTAATTGAGTTGAGCATGGATCTCATTTTTTTAGGGAACCAAGTGCTGACCGCCCTAGGCGTTAATACTATACAAACTAGCGCTCGCCTCCTGGTCTAAATACAGGTCAAGAGACGTTAGGCACAGAAGTGCATTAAAAGCTGCTCTAGACGATGATCGCATCGCTCCAGTTGCCATTAAGCAGGCAATCCTTTGTATTTAGTATGTCCGCAGTCGTCTTTTGGTTGGCCTTATTACACCAGACAATGAAGGTGTAGCTGATAATTGGCCTCACTATGCTACTGTACAACCACAGAGATCAGACTCAAGCTTCAGTTGTTCCTAAATCATACTGGGACTCAAGCTTCAGTTGTTCCTAAATCATACTGGGACTCAAGCTTCAGTTGTTCCTAAATCATACTGGGACTCAAGCTTCAGTTGTTCCTAAATCATACTGGGACTCAAGCTTCAGTTGTTCCTAAATCATACTGGGACTCAAGCTTCAGTTGTTCCTAAATCATACTGGGACTCAAGCTTCAGTTGTTCCTAAATCATACTGGGACTCAAGGTTCAGTTGTTCCTAAATAATACTGGGACTCAAGATTCAGTAGTTCCTAAATAATACTGGGACTCAAGCTTCAGTTGTTCCTAAATCATACTGGGACTCAAGCTTCAGTTGTTCCTAAATCATACTGGGAATCAAGCTTCAGTTGTTCCTAAATCATACTGGGACTCAAGCTTCAGTTGTTCCTAAATCATACTGGGACTCAAGCTTCAGTTGTTCCTAAATCATACTGGGACTCAAGCTTCAGTTGTTCCTAAATCATACTGGGACGCAAGTCCCAGTTTTTCCAACCATACGACTGCACGTACCTAAAACAATTTTAGCCGTATGACATTCTTTGCTAAGGTGAGAGTTCCACGTTAGTTTTTGGTCGATTGCTATGCCCAAAAACTCAACTTTTTTGTTGTCACTGCACTGCAAAGCGACCTGTATTCAACTGTAAAACTCAGTAAGAAGCAAATTTTTAATGGGACTGGAAAAACTCAGAACAGATATAGTAAATTACAAATGCTTTATTAATCATATAACAAATCATTCGTTTTTACAATTTACATCGACAAGAGCATCGAAACAACTGCTTAGTTGGGAACTTAATCTAAAATATTAAGGAGCATATTTAACTCTATTTTTTGAAGAAAAATTCTTTTTTTAAAGAATTTGTCGCTCCACTTTTGAACTCCCAATGTGAATAGCTTAAATAAAAAATATTCTACTCAATTTATGTTGAGAAATTATAGATTTTTCCAAAAGTTGCTAACGCTCGTATTGTCCCCGAAAAGACCGTAATGGATTTTAATAAATTAAATTGAAAACATAAGTATATAGTAATATTAGTTCGAAAAACACACTTGTTACTTTAAATACAAAAGCAGCTATAATAATTGTTAAGGGCTACTTCAGCCTTTAAAAAAAATTCCTCCAGTAACAGCTAATAAATAATTTTCCGCTCGTCAGATGTCACTAGTTGGAACCAAGGTGAAGTTATTTGTTAAACATTGTCACCATTAGTGAAAAGTTGCGTTTCTAGTGTCTGTACCTTATTATACACAATGCCTCGGTGGTGGCTCTTTAATTTTTGCACTTTTTTAACTCTTATTAATTTATTTACTTTTAGAAATACAGTGGACCCCCCCCCCCTTATCCGACATGGTCTATTATTTATTATTAAATATTTTTTGACAATCTTCGCTAACGCATGATAGAACAAGCTATAACTTGTACGCACTACCACTATTGTGCTCGACGCGTAAGGGAATTTTTTTAATTCTGACAGAAAAATTTGATTCTGAAAATGGATGAATGATCATAATTTTCCGCAAAAAGCGTTTTTGTTTCTTGATAACGCTCTTAAATTGATGTTTATTTCAGTATGTACATTTGTTTGTACACAATTATTTCCTTACGTAAAGTTCTTGCATATTTTTTGTAAGTTCAATAGCATTAATGACGTTAATTTTATAATAAAACGTTTGCTCTCTATTGTGTTGTTTAATTTACCAAATTTGATATACATACAAATCATACTTCATTATGTTATATGTAGTACGTATATATAACATATAGAATCTTATCATTGGATCTGTAATTTGTCGAATTACAAGGTACTCTTTTGTAAAAAATTCCATAGACAGTTGCTCTATAATCCGACAAATTCGATAGTCCGACACAGCCCTACAAAATGTATGTCGGATTACCGGGGGCCCACTGTATCCGTAGTTTAGTTTATCCACCTTAATCTTATTATCTTATTAACATATAGTATAACTAAAATTTCAAAAAAATATTAACCTTTAATTTTTCCTAACAATTCTTCAATGTTTTTCTTCAACATTCCTAACAACTCTCCATGAAATCTATTCAAATATTTCACCACAATCCAAAGTAGCGCCACCATGAAAAAGTTGTGGATGCCCTCATTATAGACGATTCTCGACACTGTCACAGTGGTATTGAAGCAGATGTCACGTACCCGTACACCGTGCACTCGCGTGCCCGGACGGTCCTCACCGCACCAGAACATCAACCGACACGAAGTTGTCAGAACTGGTGTCGCTGTTCGGACGGCAGTTGGATAACTCAACTCATCTCTGCACTGATTCGTGTATAGCGACACCGTAGCGGATATCTGACGTTCAAGCACAAACTCAGTCGTTGTGATCATCACCATCACCACCATTATCAGTCGCTCCTTTCATATAACCTAAGTCTAAAGAAGCTGTACTTAGACTTTAGCTAACAGGTAAGTTGAAACGAAGACCACCTAAAACTTTGACTGAGGCGACAGTACATAACTCGTGGTATGGTGGAAAATTGGCAAAATTTGGGTCTATCAAAAATTATTAAATATGTTTTATTTAATGCCATTCCTGAATTATATATGTACTTATACATGTATAGAAATATAAGGTAACAAAAACAATTTAAAAATAATTTAATATCACGCGCATAGCGTTTTGATTATACTCGAACATACTAATCAATTTCTTAAACTGTTTTTGGTATTTCACTAACAACAAATGTTAGAACAGTTATATAGTATAGTAGTTAAAATGATCGTTTATAATAATTCACTATCAAGTGAATAATTCCAGTAATGATTATTAGAAATTCTATAATATGTCTGAAAACTAAGATAGATTACCTTATAAAAATTAAAATCTGCAATAATATTATTTTTTTTTTCACTTCTAACCAAAACACAGGTAGCAATCAGCGACTATGCCTAAAATGTGCTATATTTCGATGCTACGACCTATTGATATTTTATATATTTTAATATAATACTTTTATAAAAATTCATCCGCGATAAAACAAACCACCCGGTATGTACAATGCATTTAAATTGTTATAGTGTAATTTCGCTCTTAATATTAATAAATGTACCTGAATAGCTAAGTTAATACTTTCGACAAAAACCACAAGTATTACAATAATTTTTTGGATACAATAAATATTATGTTAGAATATGAAACAGGAAATAAGACCTATAATTATTTAGAGTTGAAATAGAATTTTAGATAGCTTAATAGTTAATAGTTTCGGAATCAGGGCATCAACAGTCGAGGAAGTTGGCAGCCATAAGTAGTTCCAACGCGATCTCTGGTGCGATGGGAAACTCTGGTATTTCCGTTGAGGAGTTTGTGTAACGAACTTTGTATGTGAAGTACATGCACACCTTCTGGAGAACATGCGATCTGTAAAAGAAAGGTCTGTTAAATGTATACTAAGCTTATGTTTCATAAAATTATCAAAAAAAAAAATTAGACAAGTTCAAGCTGAAATGCATACGGTAAGGTTCCATTGTGCAGATTATTGTGTAATTTACGTTCATCATTACAGCCCTTTACAGTTCCACTGCTAAACATAGGCCTCCTCATATCTACCTACAACCATAGACTTCCGCCACCTCTTACCACTATATACGGCAATAGAGTTCTCTTTAAACTTATTTAAATTTACATTATATAAATTACTATTAAACAAAAATAATTATTTGAGTCATTATTTGAAGTAAGAACTTCCTTATAATCGTTGTGATTTGCAACTATAGTAAGTTCCCTTCTCCCTCCGGACCGCGCCTAGTTTGGACGTCTTTTTAATTTTTCCACGATACTTTAATTTTTAATTTTAAAATAGTATTAATTTAATTCGATACTAAAAATAGAAGTGCATAAACTGCCAGGAGCTAAGCTGCAAGTAATCAGGTGACATACTACTGCGCCTTCGCATTTTCTGTTGTAGTGGTTGTGAGTGAATAACTGTGTGTGCTATCGTTCTAAGAGTAAACGAGACGTCTATTCGACACGACACCTCTCTCTGTCATCTACTGCGCGTAAGTCACACTACTGTGCTATTAATTATACATTATACGAGTTACGCACACAATTCCGTTTGTTTATGTGCATTCAAGGGTCTATGATAGTTGGACGGAAAGAGTTTTTGTAAGAAATCGTCGATCACCGACAATTTTAGCTGACCCCTGCAGCGAGACTGCTTCTGTAAACTCCAGTAAACTTTTGGGAGCCTGGTACTTTGAGTTTGATTTGAAACTAAGCATGCCACTCAAGCGAACACCGCCTCCCGCCTCACCGCCAGCGGTAAAAAACAAGAATAAGAATGTGAGCTGTACACCTATAAATATTTGCCCCAGCCTATCTACTGAAAAGCCTTCTTCAGAGCGTGATAATATCACCCTAAGGAAAAAAGATGTTATTGATTCTTCTAGTATGGAACTATTTAGGGAAGAAATCAGGGAAATTAGAGAAATTATAGTTAATTCTAACATTTTAAAACATCAGAGTACATTGACTTCTGTACAATCCTCTGTGAATGAAATACTATCCCAATATAAAGATATTAAAGAATCAATCGAGATGATATCTAAGCAATACGATGATATGAAAATCAAATTTGATTCCCTCGAAAAGCAAAGAAAGGAAGATCGACTCTACATCGTTGAACTTGAAGGAAGAATATGCTCTCTGGAGTCAACTATTGTGGCATCAAAGCTTGAGCTTAGAAACATCCCTATGGGACCCAGTGAATCCAAAGAAAGTCTGTGTGACATTGTTTTAAAAACTGCTAAGGCCCTAGAAGTACCTCTTCAACAGCCAGAAATAAATGACGTGTTCCGCATTAAAAACAAAACTGGTAACGGAAATATTATCGTCGACCTTACAACTACCATAAAAAAAGAAAATTTCTTGAAAAAAAGCGCGCAAATTTAATACAAAAAACAGCGCAAATAAATTAAACACAACCCATCTCGCACTGGATGGGCCACAGAAGCCGATATTTATTTCTGAACATTTAACGCAGAAAGCTAGGCGCCTTAACTACTTAGCAAGAAATTTTGCGCAGGAAAACGGATATAAGTTCTGCTGGACTTCATACGGACGTACATATCTACGTCAAGATGAGGGCAAACCACATATCAGAGTGGACTCTGAGTCAGATTTAGCTAAGCTGCGAGGCCAAAAATGACTGTATGAGATCTCCGGTAGAATTTTTGGTTACTACTTACATTGATTTTGTTTATTATCAAATATTTATTTATTATTTCTTTAATTATTTATATAACATGGTATATATTTTACTAAACGGTACGACATACATTCACATTACTATTGTAACCGTACTGTATATTTTTACAATACATGGTTTTTCTCGAACAATTTGTGGGATGGCTCTCAATAGCTGTTATTTAAATCGGAACTATAGATGTGACAATGAATTTTTCCTCTTTAAAAATGCCTGAATTACAGAATCAAATTCTATCAGATATGGATAATATTAGAGTGGCTTCATCTTTTGTGTGTGATGTTTTAAAATGCAATGATATTGTCAGGAAATCCTGTAATTCTTTAAATATCATTGCACAAAATATACGTAGCGTCTATAAAAACCTGGATGGCTTTATGGCATATATATCACAACTTTCATTTGAACCGGATATAATAATACTAACAGAATGTCGCCTTGATGTTAATAAGCCTGTTCCTCCGCTTCCAGGTTACAAATGTCATTTCTCAAAAAAATGTTCGATCCAAAATGATGGTATAACAGTTTATTCTAAACACTCAATTGATTGTATAATAACAGAACCTGATTCAAATGGTAATTTGGTAACTATCTTTTAATTAAAATAAATCCAGATATAGTAATATTAGCGGTATATAGATCACCCTCCTATTATTATATTGACAACTTTTTAGATTCTGTAGAAAAAATTATTCGTCTTTAAAATCTAGTAACATATTTATTATGGGTGATATCAATATAAATATTATTCAAGGCAACAAAGACAAAGACAGTGAACCTTATTTAAATTTAACTGCAGGATTAGGTCTTTTACCGGGTCATACCTATCCCACCCGTATCAATAATTGTTTAGACCATGTTATGGTGAAAACAGTATTAAATACTCAAATAATGGTACTCGATAGTGTAATCACTGATCATTCCTTAATCTTAACAAATGTTTCTTTGAACCCCAAACGCAAGCCTAATAATATTTTTATTGATAAAATAAATTATGATGATGCCATCAAATCTATAGAGTCTGCTGATTTTTCTTTTATATCTTCAACTTTAAATGCAGACACGGCTGCCGAAAAATTTGTTGAATTTAATAACCTCTGCTATAAAGAATAATACTGTTAAAATTAAGATTCCTAGAGTGAAACGAACGCTTAAGGCCTGGATGACACCTGGACTGATAAGGTGTATCCGTCACCGCGATAAACTTCACCAAAAACTGAAAAAGAACCCTGACAATGAAATACTTCAAATTTCTTATAAGCGTTATAGGAATTACTGCAATTCCTTGTTAAGTAAGCTCAAGCGCCAATATGAAAAAAGTCTTTTGGCAAATGCAAAGAACAGTAAAGAAACTTGGTCTGCAATCAAAGCCATCTCCGGATGTGATACTAAAAATAACTACGCTGAAAATTTGATCATTAAAAATCCTATAGATTCAGTGGAGAGAGCTAATTACTATTTTTCAACTTTGGGTAGAAAATTAGCTGATAAAATTCTAGCAAACGGTGCTAAACCTGCTAATGTTAATACTAATACCCTGGTCGCTTAATTCATTTGTGCTCGATTCTCCTGACGAGTTAGAAGTAGAAACAATATTGATGGGTCTTAGAAATGATTGTGCTATTGGTTGGGATTCCATTCCTGCTTGCTTCCTTAAAATGACCAAGGATAAAATACTTCTGCCACTCACAACCCTTTTTAAAATCTGTTTTGAACAAGGATGCTTTCCAAAAGTTTTTAAAAGATCTCTCATTACTCCTGTTTACAAGAATGGGGCTCGGGACGTTGTTGAAAATTACCGGCCGATCTCTGTGCTACCTGCACTTTCAAAAATCTTAGAAAGGATGCTTAATAATCGTTTGGTTAAATTTCTAAACAAATATAATATCTTATCTAATATGCAGTTCGGATTCAGAGCGGGTGTTAGTACAGAAGATGCTGTTCGTAACTTGACCGAATTTGTAACAAATAAACTGGACCATAAACAGAAGTGTGTAGGGATTTTCTTAGATTTAGCCAAAGCTTTCGACACCGTTTCGATACCCATTCTTGTAAACAAACTAGAAAAAATTGGAATAAGAGATTCTGCCCTTTCCATTTTTAAGGATTTTTTATATGACCGTGTGCAGAGAGTAAAAATAAAAAAAATTATTAGCTCAGACACCTGTGTCACATTTGGAGTCCCTCAGGGCAGTATCCTGGGACCAAGTCTCTTCTTAATTTACATCAACGACCTGTGCTCAATGACACTAACTCAAGGCAAGCTATTTACTTATGCTGATGATACAGCCTTAATTTTCTACGGAGAGACTTGGCCTGAGGTCCAGGAGTTTGCGATGAGGGGTCTTCAATCTGTGGCAAATTGGCTTGAGGAGAATCTACTGACTCTTAATATATCAAAGTCCACCTATATGCAGTTCCATATAACCAACACCCAAACTGTTAACGATATACAACTAACAGTACACTCTTGTGGTTTACAGTGTTACATGATACTTGCCTTTGCCCTAAAATGACGAAATCCAAATCAATTAAATATCTCGGAGTAATTATAGACGAGAAACTAAGCTGGCTCCCACACATAGACCTTATTTCATCGCGCACTAGGATTCTTATTTGGACATTTAAAAGGCTAAGGCACATCGCTGACTTTGATTTATTGAAAACTGTATACTACGCCTTAGCACAATCAATTATAGGTTATTGTATAGTTGCCTGGGGTGGAGCATGCAAAACATTTATGATAAAATTAGAAAGAGCTCAAAGATGTCTCCTAAAAACTATGACTTTTAAACTGTTCAGGTATCCTACAAATCTGCTTTACCAAGAATGCAAACTGTTGACTGTTAGGCAATTGTATATCCAACAACTGATCTTAATGAAACATGCTCTAACTCCTTATAACCCTGAGATCTGTCGTAATAAACGCAGGAATACCGGATGTAATGATTATTGGCAGATGTCAAACTGCTTTTTCTAGGCGACAAAGTTCATATCGATTCTCAGTGCTTTATAATAAATTAAATAGAAATCTAAATTTTTATCCTCTTTCCAGACATGAATGTAAAGTTAAAGTTCGAGAATGGTTATTGTCACTTGATTATAGTAAAACAGAAAATATAATTTGTTAACATGTAGTAATGTATGTCGTATA